TCCTTTGAGGACAAGATCTGGACCAAAAGAGGACGTCCTATGGACGACCTAAGGACGACTTGCTGTTTGCTGGGATATTAGCGTACGCCGAACTAATAGATCGAATCGTTAAATAGCCAAGTTCTTTTTACAGTACCCATTTTTAGTAAGTGTAATTTGTAAAACGTAACCATGTCAATGGTGACTTCCTGGCACACTACATTTCAAACAGCAAAATCCTGATAAGCCAACATTTATAAAGCATACGTCCAAAGCGTCTAGCATATCTTACAAAATAGAGTGCTTCATTAGCAATCAACTACAAAAAGTTTATATCCATGTCACTCCAACGAATGGGATTGATAGCGATTATACATCCCGTCTCTTGTCATACTACGCTAATTTTATATTAGCTTTTAATCGCTGCTAGCCACATTAGCGTCTTCTACCAATATCCCTAGCAGTGAGCGTTTGTTTTGCAGATGTAAAGCCGTAAACGTCTACCTGTAGCGATTCAATTACCTCTGTGCATTTGTCCTATGCGGAATGTATGTCATTCGGCATTTGTGTTGTGAAACGCTACACTTATGATACGAAATGCTGGAAACCTATCCCGGGGGTGCGTTTCTCGAAACCATCGTTGCTAACTATGTTAGCAACTTCCGTCGTTCGAACTATGCAAGTACGACGCAGGTGTTTCCCGAAACCATAGTTCCAACTACATAGGTAACGATACTGCGGACTTACGTAGTACGATGCATCGTTAAACGACGCAGGTGTTTCCAGAAACCATAGTTCGAATGAACGTTCGCAAACACTATCGTTAAGTTGTGTAGTTCGAACTGCAGCTCGCGAGCTGTAGTTAGAAGCGTAGTTCCATGTAAATTCATCAGCAATGGTGGAAAATGCAGTTTAATAAGGGTATAGTCACCGTGTAAGTAAGAAATTTAATAATCTTTAATACCTAATAAGGAATAATTTAGCTCTACGATCACATACAGTATAATGAAGTTGTCTGAAAATGTAGTTTGAAACGTAATTGTTGTGTGGGTCTCTGGTCATAAGTACAGTAACTGTCTGTAGTGAGCAATAGGGACAAATCTCAGACTGCTAAGTATTGATTAGCACAGGGGTGACTAATTTTATCCAAAAATGGTCGTTAGGCATGCAGCTTTTCACTACAACTCCGTACTTAGAGTAGAACGTAGAGAACCGATCGACTGAAGAGTTCGATAAGTTTAACCTTACCTCTGAAGCGTCAAGTGTAAATGAGCTTGAACAGGTAACCGTGATCATGGTGGAATCATTTCGTACCACTCTTGATCATGTAGCACCACTCAAGAAAATAAAACATA